ACTCCTCTATTCACTAGTTGGCAGTGTTTGTACACTCACCAGCCATCTCCTTTCCCATTGTCAGCCTCCTGTTTGTCCCTGACATCCTTGGCAAACAGCCTATTCTTAGGTCCTGTTTTCATTCAGGGTTTTCACTCAAACCAAACCAAACTCACTGCCATTGCATTGGATCCAACTCATAGTGACCCCTCCTTGGGTTTCTGAGGCAGTATCACTATGGAAATAGATTGCCCAACCTTCCTTCCGAGGAGTGGCTGGTGGGTTTGAACTGCCAGGCTTCTGGTTAGCAGTCCAATGCCTTAGGCAGTACACCACCAGAGCTCCTGGTTTTATACTAGTTGGTGCCTAATCCACTTCTGTATATTTCCTTTCAAGGCTCAGGGCTCCAAGATGATCTTTTGCATTTCTGTGTCTTCATTTCTCTTTTCTTTGCTGAAGAGGGTCTGTGTATCTTCTCTGCCTATTCTGCCATCTTACCGGAAGTCCAAATAACAGAATTCTTAATCATCCAGATTTCTCTATTTCCAGAATATCCTTTATTTTTCTGGAATAATGTCTACTTTCGCTTAGTTAAGTGGGAATCATTGTAATTTTATTTCTATTGCTTAATAATTTTCCTATATTTTCTACATAAGTTGTCTGGCAAGATTTCTATTTCTTTCGTCACTCAAATGACTTTGAAATGGCTTTTTCTGTTGTTATTTCTAAACCTTTTCCTTAAATTAAATTAAATGAAAACTGTCTTAGAGTTTGAGGTTGGATTCTAACCTTTGTTCTCATTTTAAACATGTACACAAGAAAAATTCCACTTAGACTTTCTGAACCATGTGCCACAGAAGAGATTCCCAGGAGGTACCCAGTGACCAAAGGGTTGAACTTTCTCCACTTGAATAGAAGAAATGAAGGCCAAGGCCAGTTTCCTTAAATCAACCTCTCTGATTTCTATAACAATATTATATTTCACTGGAGGAGTAATCTAGAAGTTGTCTCTTCCACTCAACTCAAGTTATAAGAAGAGGAAATTAACTATTGTTTATCAGAAGAAATTACCCACAGTGTAATCACCAGTATAACTTACTGAGGGAAATGAGTGCAACTGACCAGTATGGTCTGATTACCAGTATAATTCACTGGGGAGATGGATGGTGATGGACATGTCATTCATAACAAGCTGGTGACACTAAATTATAACCTGATGAGCAAAGAAACAAAAAACCACTTTCAATGAGTCGATTCTGACTCATAGCCACTCTATAGTAGAAGTGCCGCATAGGGTTTCCAAGGCTGTAAATGTTATGTAAACAGACTGCCTTAACTTCCCCCTGAAGAGTGGCTGGTGAGTTTGAACTTTTGGCCTTTTAGTTAACAGTCCAATGTGTTAACCACCATGTTACCATGGCTCCTTAATGAAACAAAACAAAAAATAAAAGAGTCAGTACAATACTATGATGACAATCATATATCACTGGGTTCTTTTAATTTTTTAA